TCCAAACCCAAACAAGAGGGAAGAATTACAATTACAATAATGGAGCTACAAGGTCGGCAATGACAGTCCATTCCGGGGGGAGAAGATCAAGACGATAGTTCCTTGCGATCCAATCTGCCAACAAATTGAGTCGACGGGGAACAAACTCGATCGAGATCCAAGGAGAAACACACAGAATGGAAACCACACGGGCAAGGGTTGCCCTGCACTGCCAGGGCCAAAGGCTCGGATCCTGTCGCAACGCAATCGTAAGCCTCTGACAGTCAGACCGAATACATGTTGGGACTGGATCCAGGGCCGCCAAGATAACTGCATTGAGAATTGCAAAAGCTTCTGCCTGAATCGGAGAGGAACAAAAGAATCTCTCAGCCCTTCCGTCGATCACCTGACCGTGGGAGTTTGCAATAGCAATCCCATAAGCCGCCACCTGTGCATTAGAAACAAAGGAACCATCGCAATGCACAACCTTACTGTAAGGACCAGGCGGTGATGAGGTCGTCGACCGAGAACTCTCAGGCTGAGACGGCAAACTAGCTGACCTAGAAGAGGAAGAAACTGAGGACGAGATCCTAGCTTCTTGCACGTTCCGGAAATCTCTATCAGCTAAAATTGCCACAGAGGGCGGAGAGAACGCCCGACCATCAAAGACCAAACCATTTCGAGCCAGCCAAATATTCCAAAGAGTGCAAACAACCTTTGTAATCTGGTCATCCGTCAATCGATCTTTGAGGTCAAACAACCACACTGCAAAGCTTGCGTCATCCGCAGGAAGAACATTCGTCAATCCCAGTTGAGACCAAGTCGCTGAAGCTTTGGAGCAGTGGAACAAGCAATGCACGATGGTCTCGTTATGCTCCTCACAAATCGGGCACAAAGGATTAGGAGCACACTTTCGTTCGAAAAGCCTCGCTCGTGTTGCAATTGCATGTTTACCACTCTTCCAAATGAAAAATCGAAGTTTAGGGGGCAACTTGAGATCCCACAACCATTTCCAATCGTCCCTATTTGGTCGAGAAGGAGACACCCCGGCAGCAAGCGAGGGAGCATCCCGACTCTCCCGTAGCATACGGTACGCAGACTTAACGCTGTAACCACCAGTCTCCGTACAACTCCAAATCCATCTATCATTAGCAGTGCACGGGCCAATTGGGACACGAGCAATAGCAAGGGCAATCTCTTCGGGCACAAGATTCCTGATATCATCCATTTTCCAGCTCCGGGAATCCTGATCAATCCAATCACTGACTTTAGATGGCTCCAAACCCAAAGGAGAGAGACTAAAACCTGGAATGGACGGAAGCCAAGGGTCACAATGGAAAGAGGATTCCTTCCCTGACATAATCCCTCGAATCAAGCCACTCTTCATCTTCTCCTTAGCCTCGCAAAAGCCATTCCAGATCCATGAACTCTTACTCCCCTTGGCTGCTGAAAACAAATCTCCATTGGGAAAGTAAAGTCCCTTCAAAAGCTTTGCCCACAAGGCATCAGGGTTCTCAAAGAGTCGCCAAACCTGCTTCCCAATAAGAGCAAGGTTGAAGAGGTGAAAGTTCTTGAACCCCAGTCCTCCTTCGTCTTTTGGTAACTCCAAATCCCTTGCTTTACACCAATGAATAGCCCTCTTCTTCATAGAACCAGACCAGAAGAACCGCTTCAGGATCGAATCCATTTTGTTCGTTAAGTTCAAAGGCAGCAAGAAAACGCTCATGATGTAGGTCGGCAAGGCTTGGATCACTGCTTTTAACAGAACTTCTTTCCCTCCTGGTGATAACATGAGGCTCTTCCAGGATTCACCTTTCTTTTCCATGCGCTCCAAAAGAAATCTAAACGTTTCTTTTTTAGATCGACCCCATTCAGTAGGAACTCCCAAATATTTATTATGGCACACTGCAGACGGAAATCCGAACTTGGTGCTCACAAGGTTCTGAATGGCCTGGGGAGTGTTCTTGCTGAAAAAAATAGAAGATTTGGAGGCATTGATCTCCTGTCCTGTTGTGGCTCCATAAGTCTCAATGATGGCCTTAATCCTGTCAGCTTCCGAGACACTAGCTTTGCCGAAAATGACAGTGTCATCCGCAAAAAGGCAATGAGAAATCCTGGGGCAATTCTGGTTGAGCTTGATGCCTCTAATATCACCATTAGAGATCCCTCTCTCAATCAAGAAAGACAAGGCGTTAGACATAAGGATGAACAAGAATGGAGAGATGGGATCACCTTGTCGAATGCCTCGGGAAGGAGAGAAAGGCTCAGTAGGGCTACCATTCAATAAGATAGAGAATCTGACTGTCCTGGTACATTCTCGAATCCAGCCCCGCCACTTCTCAGAAAACCCGTAAGCATGTAAAATAGACTCGAGACCTTCCCAGTCCACAAGATCATATGCTTTTTCACGTGAATCCTAATTCAATGTTTGGACTTTGGATATATAAAAAAAAAATTGTAGGCGTACCATATCTACATATAAAATATTCCTTTTATTTTCTAGGTAATGGTGGGTTGAGCTAATTTGTTATTTGGCCTTGATGGTTAGGGTTCGTCATTGACTCATTCCATCGAGAACTCGCGAGCTTGATAATATCGTATCAATGGAGTATTTGATGGTTTGTGTCACTATTTTTTTTTCTTCCATTCTTTCGACCTAATCTTCAATCCGGACAATTCAACGCCCAATTCCACAATTCAGAAACGAGGTCGAGTAGTTACATGTCTAGCTCACATGTACGTTAGTTCAAACTGACAAGTCACGAATATGGATTATTTATTAGCATTTCCGGCGGATTATTCTTTGCGGAATGGACTGCACCACCGCCGAACGTCCACCGGAAAATATTGCCGATCTCCGGAGGGAGCAGTTGAAACATTTCATTCATCAATAAACTATGTTTTCATTGGGATTTCCTCTGCCTGGATACATGAATTGTGTGGCTTAGCTTCATCGACCAAAACTGATTCTCGATCTGGCTTCCAAGAAACCCCTTAATTTAATTAACCCAATAATTGTGTTCATAATACGTACCATTAATTAATTAATCAATTTATGAATATTAAACAACAGTTGTTGATATGGTTCGTATCATTTGCTTGCCCGTGAGGCTGTGTGACTTCTTATAAATTATAATTAGATATATAATTATAAGCTAATCCACTTTCGTAAAGGTTTCCTTTTGGTACTTAGTCTTCCACTACCATGGACAGAAAAGATAAACAACAACGGTCCTTTTGGGCGTCTAGATGCGAATAATTCATGTGCAAAAGCAAAACCCAATTTGAATTCCAATAATTTCCTAATCTATGTTAGTGAGTGTGGAGAAGAGACTCGTAAAAAGTGGATATGACATTACTAATAGTTTCTCACGATTGAACCTAAAATTTGGAGAAAGGCATGCAATCAATCTCCATCTTATCACTTTCTAATGTTTTTTTCTCAATATATAAATACACATATTATAACGTTAGATAAAATAATCGAGGAGCTCCTACTGGACTACACGTAGCTCCACTGTTGAACTCTTTTTATACAAGTTTAGGTTAAATCATGTATCGCGTGACCAAACATATGCAGTTATATTATGGTGTTATAGTAGTTTTATATGGTGTATACCTTATATTGTTGGTCTCATGAGTTTGACCTCCAAGACGATGTATATAAAATAATTTGATTGGCATATCTATCATATTTTATGATTTTGATATACGGTAAATTGGTGATATAGTCGGTTTTTATTTGATAATCTCGTTGATTTGATATCGAGCTATATTACACTTATCACTTATCAATAGTGACATTTGATACTAGCCACTTGCTTGTTGGACTTAACTATAAGATTGTTTTGATTTAGAGCATTGATAGATTCAACAAGCAAATCAAAAGGTTTCAATAAAAAGGGAAAGCAAAATCAAAGAAGTCTTTTGTTATTAGAAGTTCTTTTAAAGACTTTTGTTGTATTGTGAAGTAAAATCGATTGGATCAACCCGACCATACTGGAGTACAGTATCATTGCAATTTGTTGATATTGTTAGATTCTCGTGCTTGTCTAGTTATATATCTCAACATATTATAGATTATATGGTAGATCATGATAGCTTTCTTATTCTTTAACAACGGAATTTAGTAATTCACCACTGTCATCCGAAGCACAATTTTACAGACAATCATCTCATCTTCGACAATAATAGTCTTTCGGATTCGATCGTTATCAAGCTAGACAATACTCATGCCCCACCATGTCCTAAACAACAACAAGGTAATTTATTAACCATTAGTGCATGCACATGCATCCATTCTTTCTCATTATTTGCCACACGGTTCTATTATGGGCTGCTGATCGACATATTCCTCGAGAGATAGGTCCAAATCACAGCAATTATCCGAATACTTTCCCACTAAGCAAAAGAACGTTTGTTCATGTAAAGGGGGAACATTGCCCACCCACAATGGTGAATTTGGTGATCAATTTGCAGAAAAAAAGGCGGAAGGAGCTTAATCATTATATTCGATCTCTCAATTGCATAATATTTCCATGCACTTTTTCTTCCAATCAACCTTGTTTCTTTCAAAAGACATGGCAATGGGATTTTGTTCATGCTAATCTCGATTCCGCAAGTAAATCATATGTGCGTTTGACATACACTAATTTTACTACACGCCTATTGAATTTTGTTAATTAGACCATAAATTAACCGAAATTTGGAACATAATTTTACTACCAGAACCACCACACACCCCAAGCGGGCACCGAACAGCGAACATTGAACAGGAGAGGCACAAAACGACAACTTCCATAGCTGCCAAACGGCAGCCACCGCTCCACGGTTCATTTTCCCCCCGTAACAGAGCTGGAGAAACTCCTGGCCAAGACCGTTCCTCTCTTTATCTCCACAATCCAACGGCCACGATGAGCCCGTTGAATGACCTGGATTTTGGGCCATGCAAAAAGGCCCAACGTGCCTTCCCCACGAGAATACCAATCCGCCACGTGGCCCAATAACCTCCCAGATTACGCAGCCAACAAGAAAGAAAACCTAAATTTCCTATTTTCCCTCTCTATAAATAGGTCTCTTCCCCATCTTCCCTCTCCCACCCCAAAACCCTTCGCCTCTCTATCTCTCTGTTCCATTGTTGCCTCTTGATTCCGAAGCGTTATCTCGTTCTTCCCGTTCCACCGCTCGTGTTTTCCTCCCTGCAATCCGATCGAAGAAATCCTCTCCGGCTTCTCAACCGAATCTTCCGTTGAATATGTAAGTATATTCGATTTCCTCTGTTTTCTTTTTATCGTTTTCCGATTTGATTTCCGCTCGCCGGTGTTTTCGTCGTATGAGATTTTGATCGGAGGTTTTGTGAATTTCTTTTTTCGCCGGAGCAGAGAAGCGTGAATGTTGTAATGGAGACGAAAGGAGGGAAAAAGAAGTCCAGCAGTAGTAGTAGTAATTCCTCCATCCAGTACGAAGCTCCCCTCGGCTACATCATTGAAGACGTTCGCCCAAACGGTGGCATCGAGAAGTTCCGATCTGCTGCTTACTCCAACGTACGTTTTCTATCTCCTCCGATTTCGACCTCTGGTTTCGAAAATTCCAATTCTGTTCTGGTTCTGATTTCTGTTTGGATGATTCTGTTCTTGTATCTCTGCAGTGCGTGAGGAAGCCATCCTGATATTCTCCAATCGTTAATGTCGTTCGCCGTAGAGTAGGATTTCCAATTTCAGTTTCGTCTCAGTCTTTCAATTACTTCTCCTCCCTCAATCCCTCAAGAACAAGCTCCCGAAGAACAAGAAAGGAAAGCGAACTCTGCATCTCCCTCTCCCTCTCTTCTAGATCTCGGAATTTCAAAATCAAGCAATGGCGGTCAACACCTCGCCAATCGGATTCGAAGGATTCGAGAAGCGTCTCGAGATCTCCTTCTCGGAGGCGCCGATTTTCAAGGACCCCAACGGACTCGGCCTCCGCGCCCTGACTCGCCCACAGATTGACTCGTTCCTCGACGCGGCCAAGTGCACGATCGTCTCGAGCCTCTCCAACGACGAGTTCGACTCGTACGTCCTCTCCGAGTCGAGCCTCTTCATCTACCCGCTCAGACTCGTCATCAAGACCTGCGGGACCACGAAGCTTCTCGCCGCCGTCGAGCCGATTCTAGATCTGGCCGGCTCGCTCTCCCTCGCCGTCGCCGACGTGCTCTACTCCCGCGGCAGCTTCATCTTCCCCAGCGTCCAGCCGGCGCCGCACCGCAGCTTCTCCGAGGAAGTCGCCGCGCTTAACGAATTCTTCGGCGATCTGGACCACAACGCGTACGTGCTCGGAGATCCAGAGCACAGCTGGCACGTTTACTCCGCCACCGTCGCCGGTAAGAAGAACAATCCCTCTCCGTCGCTAGAAAACGACGTGATTACTCTGGAGATGTGTATGACTGGTTTGGACAAGAAGAAGGCGGCGGTGTTCTTCAAAGGCTCCCCGGCGGCGACCGCCCTGGAAATGACGAAACAGTCGGGGATCTGTGACATCATCCCCGGCCACACGATCTGCGACTTCGATTTCGACCCCTGCGGCTACTCGATGAACGGGATCGAGGGGACGGCTCACTCCACCGTGCACGTCACCCCGGAGGACGGGTTCAGCTACGCCAGCTACGAGGCGATGGGGTTCGACGCCGGCGCGATTCCGCTCGACGCGCTGGTGGGGCGCGTGCTGAAGTGCTTCGAGCCGCGTAACTTCTCCGTGGCGGTCACGTGCCGGAGCGCGAGGGCGCAGCTCTGGGCGATGGAGCTCGTCGACGTGGGAGGGTACTCCCGCGGCAAGGTCGCGGTGGAGGAGCTCGCCGGCGGCGGGATCGTCGTTTACAAGACCTACACAGCCGACGCCACGAAGAAGGCCGTTGTCGCTGCTCCGGCGGTCGTCGAGATGAAGAAGGCCGTGACGAAGAAGGAAGTGAAGGTTGTGGTGGTGAAGAAGGCTGATCGGCAGGACGTCGACTGTGGTGCTGGCTGCGGCGGTGATGACATGCTGGAAAAATGGGGGCATCAGTTCTTCGGGTTGGTGGACGGCGGCGGGTTGATTTGGTGATCCGGGAGCTTGTTCTTGTTCTGTGTCGTCGTGTTTTGCTTCTTTGAGTCGTCGTATTATTATTACTACTGTTATTGTTATTGAACTGTGAGTGTTCGTTTGGGCGGCCATGGGTGTCTGTTGTTTAAGCTTGGCGGAGTCGGCCTTAGTTGTGGGCTATATGGAATAAATTGTCAAGTGGCCATGGCTGCCTAGTGGTTTCTTTTTTCCATTGTCGATATACTGCAAGTGGGGTTTTATATCAACTCCGATTTATTAATGAAGATTGGTGTGCAATGCTTGTTTATGATTAGTGGTCTGAGATTATTGGACTAATTACATGAACTGGACGTGATGATTTGGTGGCTGGGCCTTTAGGATGATGATCAAGAGGGGGCTGGGAGTAGGATCATGTCTCATTGGGCCTGCCCTCAAAAAACCATGGACCATGTAAATGCCCAGGAACATAAAATTTTGTCCCACATTTCATTGGGTGTACAAGTACAACTATTAGGTCCATACTTATCAAATTGGATCAAATCAAATCAAATAAATAATGCTCTACTTGGTTATTGGTTTCATTGATGTTTTATTATATCAAAGAAATAATGGACAAAATGAATATCTGAATCTGACCAAACTGGCTCTGAGAGTACTGATGGTTCGATCCTCCATTTTAAGTTTCTCTTTATAATTGGACCGCGGTTATCAAGGTTTGGATTATATGGGGATGAACTAATTCGTATCAAGTTGATGAGACTAACAGCTGAGGTTATATGGCATAGACAGAGTTGTGAATGTGCAACATGATTCGAGGGGGAATCATATTATTCTTTTGCCTGTGTTAAGAAGAAAATGTAAATTTTGAATGCGAATTTTGAGAATCGTATTTGTTTAGATTGGAATCTGCATCATCTCTTCCATATGAAATTTGACCAATCAAAACAACCACTTCAAATCCTGAACTCCCACAGGATTGGATGTTAATTCTCAATATCATTTCGCCTCTCCTTGTTCACCCTTAGGACTTTGTAACCGCTTCCTTGGGTAATGAATGAAGTTTTCATGTAAAAAAAAAAAAAAAAAAAAATCCTGTCTTAGTACGAGGACAATCAGACATTCTAATTAATGTCTACCAATCTCTCATGTCATGTGGATTAATCATGATAATCTATGTTCATTAATTTTTACCCATCTTCTATTGGATTGACTAATTTGATAGGAAGTTCTTTTTTATCACCAGAAAAAAGCTGATGTCCCATCACAAGCTCGATATATGTCTGGAATTTGAGTCCCGGACAAAAAACAGACAGTATGTTTCAAATCTATCCAATGTGCAAAGGCAGAGAAAGCATATGTAATGTATAAACATTGTAGGACCTTGGACAGTGAGTGCCCTTGGCCATGATGCTGCTGCCCCTCAAACTATGGGGAGGGTGGTCCTTCAATTCCAGCAGTCAGTCCTCTCATCCAAAGGCCCTATAAGGCCATAACAAACCAGCCTTATAGAACATTTTGTACTGAAATGGTAACTTAATCATAGTTCAATAGTTGAAATTCCTAACTGTTTGAAATCCAATACCTGATAATTCTGGTCTGACCGGTAGTAGAATTTGTTTTTTGTTGATTGGTGTTAGCAATGGACTGTTATACATGGTCTGGTGGGTTTGAATGAGGTTTGATGTCACTTCATTGCCCAAGATGTAACAGATAGAAATGTGATAGTAGTAGTAGTAGTAAAAAAAAGCTAGTAAATGAGACTGAACCAAGACACTGACCATTACTGACCAATCTTGCTCTGCATTGAATTGCTACTTGTTAGGTGATGGTGGTGGTGGTGATGTCGATACAAGAGTCGGGGCCATATATCGATGGTGGTGGTGGCTAGTTATATCTGTCAATTAACTTGAAAATTCAACAAGAATTGTGTTATGTAAGAATTTGGATCATAATTGTTTTTTTAGAATTAAGTTCAAGCAATAGTAGGATATTAACAACACATGACTAAATTTTGTTAATTTAAATCACCATTTTTCATTGTTAGATTTTGACGAGTAAAACATATTGTCTAGAGTTATTGATTATATATGCACTATCTCAACACATCGTCAATATTCTAGCTCATCACCTACATTTTCTTCATCCTCCTAATAACCAATTAATGGCAAGTCCACCTTACAAACGTATTTTATAGATGAATTTTATAGAAACCTGACAAAATCGATCCGGGAAGTAATGAAGATGAATCAGACTTGATAATATTTGTCTATTTATACTTTTTTTAAAAAAATATTTTTCTATATCTAAGCAGTTATAATACCATAAATCTCTAATTCCTATGCTCGATTTCGACACGCTTTTGTTTATTCTCCAAATCCAACACCATAGCAAAATAACGGGTTAATTGCAAGGTTGGTCACTGAGATTACTAAAAACGTTCATGTTTAGTCACTAAAAATGTTTAATTCCATTCGTGGTCACTAAAATTAGTAAAACATTTCAAGTTCGGTCACTCTCCGTCCAACTCTGTTAACTTTGGCTGATGTGGCAGTCAACTCTCAAAATTGACCGTTAAATGTGTGACGTGGCACTTAAAAATAATAAAAAATTAAAATTTTATATTTTAAATATTCCACCTAATTATTATTATCACTAAAAAAAATTAAAACCTAATTCTTCTACTACCTCCGCCGAACCCGCTTTCTCCTCCCAGACTCCACCCGCCGCCATCACGGTTGAAGGTCCGGCTGGTCACCAGGAAGCGAACCATCATCGCCACCATCTACCAAATCATCAGCTCTGATCCTTTGACCTTTTCATTGATCACACAATTAAACGCCGGCACAGGAAACGTACTCGGAGGCGGCGAGGTGAAAAAAGTCGATCCTGCATACATCACATCCACGGCTTTATTAAACTCCTCCACCCTAACCTCCTTCTGAACCGTCTCCAGCTCCGGCCCAAACCGCTATGTGTATTTAGGAATTATTCCACAATTAAACTACGAAAATGCTATACTCTTTCAATATAACTTGAAGAAACAGAGTGTAGAAACATAGTCGAAAACTTGGGGAGTAAGTTAACGACTCACCCGGTCATCAAGAGCGGCAGAGTTTCGCCGGACGAACTTGTAAAACCCACGGCGAACCGCCACGCGGGCAAGCTTCTCCGTGCTGACGTTGGCGGCCCGGAGGAGGGAGAGGTTACGCGGATCGAGCGGAGGGCTCTGGAGGAAGAGGTAATTGCTGACGGCGAGCTGAATCACGGCGTCGCCCACGAACTCCAGCCGTTGATAGTTCCTCGGGCTCAGGATCGACGACGAGTGCGTCAGCGCATCCACCAGCAGCTCTTTGTCGTTGAAGACGTAGCCAAGTATTTTCTCCACCTCGGATACCGTGCCGGCGGCGCCGTATTGGTTGAAGAGGATCTGATCCATGGACCAAAAGGAGTTGCAGAGACACAGGGAGTAATTCGATTGCAGAAATTCAATTGAATAGCTTTCCAGAAGGCAGTGCGATTTCAATCATTTAAGCAGCCTCAGGAGGCAGACGACTGCTTTTTTTCGAAGAGGAAAACGGTGTCGGAAAGGCGACAAGAGGACGACTAAAGAGGCTACAGAAGACGACGCGATTGCGGAGCCACAGCCGAAGGTCTTGAATCGAGCATCCACGATCTCCCCCGTCTTCTCATCGACCCTAATCTGCAGCTTCATCACGTCGCCGTAGGCCGGCGCCCCGACCAGCCCGGTGCCGACGGCGGGGTCGTTCTTGTCGAAGGAACCGACGTTGCGAGGGTTGTTGAAGTGGTCTATCACGTACTCGTGATAGAATCGGGTAGCCACAGAGCGAGACGACGACGGCGACGCCGCTGCACGGCCCAAACACTTGTTCGCCGCTAGCCTCAACATCGTTTTTCGCCGGTAGAGATTGGAAAATTTCCGATTTGAATTGACGGAGGATGGATGGAGGTTTTGCTTCTTTTGGGTGTGTTTGTAAGGGCTACGGCTGTTTGGATCGTATGGCGGTGGATGAAGGACAGGGACACGTGGAGGGAAGAGATGGTCCTAGAGGCTTTTTTTTTGTGAGATTTTTTTAGTGATGATAATAATTAGGTGGAATATTTAAAATATAAAATTTTTATTTATTATTATTATTTTTAAGTGTCACGTCACACATTTAACGGTCAACTTTGAGAGTTGACTGCCACATTAGTCAAAGTTAACGGAGTTGGACGGAGAGTGACCGAACTTGAAATGTTTTACTAATTTTAGTGATCACGAATGGATTTAAATATTTTTAGTGACTAAACATGAACGTTTTTTGTAATCTCAGTGACCAACCTTGCAATTAACCCGCAAAATAACATAAAGAAAGCTAGGAAAGAGATAGAGAGATATCTATGGGGAATCGACAACTTAAAACTTGTAAAGCACTATTAATCCAAAGGTTAAAAAAGAGGGAACTTTCTTCCTTTTTACTATCTGATAACAATAATAAAGTGAACATCGAACAACGGTAAATAAGTAAAATTTGACAAAGAGATTGAGCCGTCCAGCCAATATCACCCCCACCACCCACCCACCCTTCAAATTCTCACCTCCTCCTTCCCTCGAAAATCCATGATTACCAAAGGCTCAAGCATCCACAACAAAGAGAAGGAGGAGAAAGTTCTTCTCAACTCGAAATCCTCCATAGCCAGGTTCTTGGACAACCTCCCCTTCATCACCATCATCGTATCTCCCATTCAGCCGAGAGGAATCACCACAATTGAGAGGAAGCTACAAAAATGCAGAGAGATAGTAAGAAAGGCTCGAAACCAAACTTAATTCTCGAAAGCTTCTTCTGATAGTTGTAGATAATAGACACATTTGAGATCAATAAGAAGAGGAAAAGAGATGGAGACGCATATGCAGATAGTCACGAAGACTCAAACCTCACTTATCATCAAGCGTCTTTGGTGATTCAAAGAGATACATGTGAGATCAAGAGAGGGAGGGGTAGTGGTGAATGATTGTGGTTGTGGGTGAGTATGTACATGATTTTCTCACCCTACTTTTTGATTTTTGTGATAGGTTTCCTTCTCTCTTGTCACATAGCCAAAATGGAAGGTGTGGGGGGTAAATTGAGAGTAAGGGGTGAAGCAACCAAATGAGGGAAAGAGAGGATTGGTGAAGCAAAGCAATAAATAAGGAAAGGCAAGAGTGGTGAAAGGAAACAAAAGCAAATAGCTAGAGAGAAGAAGAAGAAGGTACATTTGATTAGCTAAATGGGATTGTGAGTTGTGACACATAAGTTTACTATTTTTACCCTATAAACAAATTTACTATTGATTTTTTGAGCTTAGTAAAACTCTTTTCTTTCACTTGTTGTAGCAGAACTGCAGAAGGCCCTGATTAGCTAGATTTGCACAAGCAACATCTCTGTCAAATGGCCATTTATCTCCATTTTCCACCTTCTCTCTCCTACCCTTTTTTCACCCTCCAAAGCTCCCCCACTATGCCCTCTTTACTTGAACCCTAATTCTAGCAAGAAACAAGTGGTCCTTCTGAAACCTCACCATATCATCAGTCATGTTCATTCAACCATATGCATATATAAAATCAAATCGGTATAGCTCCCTCGCCACTCCACCGTTAAACTCGTATTAGATTTAACCTTGTATGAAAGATCGAACGGGTAGGTATAGTTTGATCAAACCAGATGTGTTTCCAGCCAGAAGCAAGTGTCCTTGTAAATGACCATTTTCATGTATTAATTTGACTGACCCTCTCTTGTCCCTAGGAAAGAAGGGCTTGTACTTAGAGTCAAAGCCTTAAGTCTCCTCGAGACAGCCACCAAAAGGAACATGCACACAGCTAAAACATAGCCTATCAACGAAGTACTATGCCTCTATATCTTTTGCCTTAATAGATATTCTAGCTTAGGACTATTGCCAAATGGTTCATTGCCCTCCCTGGTGGGAAATTAGGGTACCCTTTAAAAGGGTATTCCTTCCCACTTGCAAGTTGCAATGGGACTATGGGAGTGAAAGAAAAAGTACCCCGGATTTTTCGTGTCCATGTTAAGGGTAGAAAGCTTGGCAGAACCTTATGGTGAAAGTGAATGCCCCCTCTTTTCCAGGGCTGCTCCTTTGCTAGTTAGTTGCTACTTGCTATGCATACTTCTGCAAAACTGTTCCTTTCCATTCTTACACTTCTTTTGGGCCAAACAAACTTCACAACTTCCAAAACCTAATAAGGGCTAGGACCTAAGTTAACAAAAGTGCAAGAAACCACCCACACCACACCCAAAAGCCTCTAAGAATTCAACCATAGACCCCATTTTGGGGGCAATACAAGGCCTGGTCTGAGATGGGTTTTCATCAAAGTTGAAAACTTTGCAGGTCATTTCATCAAAAGGCTAAATTTGAGGGGAGCAATTTTGAAACCCAATAACCTTCATGAGGGTAATTTCTGATTACACTATTACAGCATAAGACTATACACGTAAACAAAATGAACTTATTCACTTAAAAAGACTAAAAAAGTTTTGACTTAAAACACACAAACCAAACACCTCCATCCCCAATGTGTTCAAAGACAAAGATTGCATGCATATAAGCACAACATAGGAATCTGGGATGGTCGGGTTTAGGAGCTAGTGGGATAGAATGGGGGGTAATTTGGTGGATCAACGATCAGTGTTTGGCCACGTGTACGGTGATTAGAGAAGGGTGCAACATCCAAGCATATATGTTCTATTGTGTAGTCAGTAGTGTAATGTGTAATCCACTAATCCTTGATATAAGAGGAAAAGAAAAAGGGAAAGCAAGGGAGCTTAGATAGAAGAAACAGCAAGAGACAGAATGTCTGAGGAAAAGTCTGGTTTCTTCCAGGGAAAAAGAGAAATTGGAGGACAACACTTTTGAAATTGAAAGTAAAAAGTTAAAAAGGAAAAGTTAAATAGAGTGAGTGAGTGAGTGGTACTGGTACCTGAAGAGCAAAGTAGGGCAGGGCAGGCAGCTCCTAAACCCAAGGCAAACAGAAAGGAAGTTGATTTTGACTGATGAATTGATGATGATGATGATCTTCTTTTTTTACCAATCCATCCACTTCGATCAAACGGTCCACATTGCTTTGACTAAACCCAAATTTGAAAACTGGGGTTTAGTCAAAATGGCTCCTCCTTAAAAAACCCTGCAACTTAGCGGCAATGAACAATGAGAAACACAAATAAGAAGTAGGAAGAACATGAAAGGAATTCTAATGAGCTTTGAAATGACAAGGAAGATAGCAGGTTTGGGCGGAAAAAAGGCCTTTGAGCTTTGAATGCCAAAAACCCATGTTTGAGGAAAACCCAGATCTTTAAATGCTTCAGAAATGAAGGAATTCAATGGGTTATTGAGTTTGCAGCCAAAAGCTGCAATCTTTACAGTTTTCAAACAAAAGGGTTTCGAGGCAAAAGGAGAAGAGGTGCCCAAAGTAAAACAAAGGTTGTACCTTGCTGGTGGTTGATGTGTGAATGGCGCAGAGGCACAAAATGCTCTCTGTTTGAGCTGCTGGTGCTTGGAAAAAAGCTACAAACTTTGAGCTACTTGGAGAAGCAATGAAGATATGGAAGTGGAAAAAGAGAGAAAGAGATGAAGAGAGAAAGGAAGGAAGGGGATATGTGTAAGGGTGGTTTTATTTATGGACTTTGCTTGCTTGCTTGCTTACATACAGCAGCACTATATAATGATAAAAAATAACAATGATGCCATAGTAATTTGGTCCATTTTCAAAAACCAGAATTCTTATTCTAAACATGAGATAACGAAAGGATTAAGAGCTTTTAATCCCTTTAGGCCAAGTTGATACCTTAGCACATTTGGGCTATGTACTAATTGCTCACTAATCAGTAATTAGAGCTACTAAACGAGCCAGTAATCAGTAACAGTCGCAATCTAACTTCTACTAAAGAAACTTGGAAGAGAGGAGAAGAAAAAGGAAAACCAGAGTAAGAGAAAAGAAAAGAAAGAAGCTCTTTTGGTTTTTATTTGCCTCCTGCTTCTCTGTCTCTCTGCAGAAACCCCATATGAAAAGGTTAGAAAAGTGACTGTGGAGATGAGATTGGGGTTTGATCTGGTTTCAGAAGATTGAGTGAGAGATATGTAAACCATTATATAATTCAGTAAAACAAAAGAGAAGAAACCCATAAAAAGATGGCCACCAGAAGGGCTTTTTAAATTGGAGAAAGGCTTGATTTGATTACTGCATGAATGGTCGCTATAGTTTGGGGTCATTGACAAATTAGTGACTGAACTTCAAGTATTACAATACTTGTCATTGATGTTTGAGACAACACAATAGTGATTATGTTCAGATTCTCCCACAAATTGTCCAAAATTAGCATATCTAAACTTGGATAAGTAGTCAAGATAAGGTCACTGCCATGACCATATAAACATATAACTAATTGACATGAATAACACATTTTAGCTCATACCAAATTCTACCCTACTGAATACGCGATCCAATTTCAACGTATATCATACACAACCATTACAATCCCTTTTCCACCATCTACTTGATTGCTAATTAGACCGTCCTCGCAAGTCCTTCATTAATGATTCGAGTAAGCAGACACATTGATATGAAAAAATCTAGACGAAAAACTTGATCGTGATGGACGAAGTAAATGTTTTGTTAGTTAAATTTTTCAGAAATCAAGATTCAATGCCCAATTCCTAGACACCTCAAACTTCAGTGATTGTTTATGTAATGGACCCATGGTAGGTGTGGCTACTACTACATTTTACATTCAATACCAAGCCTGCCCCATGTGAACTGAGCTTTTACACAAAGAGGTACACATTACTATAATCATGGGGCAATTAACAACTTTCCCATATACTTAATAAGCCCATCTCTGCAAAAAACTTGGCTCAAATGTTGGAAATTGGAATAAGAAAGCTTTGCTTGGGGATAGCAGTTGGGTGTGTCCCCTTACAAAAGGAAACCAGTCTATTCTTCATGCCATAAGAAATGGATGGCTGTATTGTACTTTTCCCCCTTTTCAACTAAGTTTGAAATGTTTGGTCACTTCTTTAAGAAATTTGGTCTCTTAATCTGCTCAATATGATAACATCATTAAGGGGAAAGCAGGTTGCTTTGCTCCCCTCTTTTATGGAAGGTATTGGACCATAAAGAGGAAAAAAAGTTAGCCTCTTCCTAGCTAGTTGCTTTCTTGTGTTAGGGAGAGAAGTAATTACATATTGACATATTCGATTGGAGGATGTGGTGAAAGTTTGTGAACTCCCTCAAGTGCAATGACAATTATCCACCTCTTTTATTTGACGAATTTGTCAGTGAAGTTTATGCGCATAACAACAATTCCGTCAAATTTTGTTGTCTGAATCGTTTAGACCAGCGTGTCATAATTAAAACGATCAAATACGCTATCAAATTAGGTACTAGGTAAGTGGAGGAAGGGATTAAGGACGGTTTCAGGTGATTTGTGTTGGAATTGGGACAAGGAAAAGGTTTGATTTAGATATCTACGTGTTAAAATGAATCTTTCGTGTCACTACGTCATGTAGTTGTTGATTTGGTTGTTGGGTTGACTAGTGAAACGGTAGAGTTTTGACAACAAAATAAGTGCTTAATATGTTGGTTATTCTAATTTTCGGTGACCATGTTGTTAAAATTCAAAGTTTATGACACATTTGTTAATTGCCCCAAAGTTTTTGGTGGCTATTTTACGTGATTTAACCCCTCAAATGGCTCTTTATCTTGCATTTGGGTCCTCTTTTTCACTTCCTTAACCCTCAATTCCAAATGTTAACAACAACACTCTTGATCATTGCACCACCTCACATTGGATCAAAATAAAGCGAATGCTTCCTTTCTTGCATGAAGCTTGGAAATTATGCAGGCAAAAGAGCTAACAGGCTGGGCTATTGGCCCACTTTAGGCTCTAACAACACTTCCGAGATAATGGATTATCTCGGCCCAATCAACAAGAGATAATGGGTCATCGCGCCCTTAAATCTCGCAACATCGTAATATATATATGTTTGAGATAGTTACTGCCATTAATTAAAAAAAAAAACGTCTCAGAAAATATAATTTATCCGTAATAATTACCATTTTTTTTCGTTTCAGAAAAGATATCCCATAACTAAGCCATATTATATAAATATATATTATATTCTTGTTAGTGTTAATTCTTCGGATGAGGACAATCAGTAAGAAAGTAAAAAACACAAGAATTTACATGGTTCACTAATACAACGTGTGTTAGCTAATAGCTAGTCCATAAGCGGGAGAGAGTGAGCTTCACTATACTTGAAGAGATTACAGATTACAAAAAAGTATGAGAAGTAATACTTCTCCAATAGCCTAACCCTATTTTAATCTGATAAAGAATAAGGTTATAGATCAGATCCTACATAAAAACAGAAAAACTCAAACGTATACAAGCCAATACACCATGGGATCGTGGGCAATTGCTCCTCCCAAACCCCAAACCGAGCGCTTCACTCCTGGATCTCGACTAGCTGATCGAGTCATATGATTGGACTCACTCTACATATCTTGATTTTTCACTGGCTAGCAATCACTTAAGTTAAGAGAGTGAGATTTTTTTTTATGGTTAAGAGTTTTTTTTTTATTGTCACGAGAGTGAGATATCGATGCAATTAATTTGATTATTTTTTGTGAATTGTTATGTCTATCCATATTCCTATTGAGATATATAATTAAATAACTACTAAGATTGTGATTTCCTTAATTACTTTATTATTGCTAAATGGACATCCCTATTAAATCGACACAACATCTAAGTACAAAAAAATGCTTGAGAAAGAATAATAGAGTCGTCGAACATCCTCGGTTAGGGCTTGCCAAAGATTGAGAAACCATACCGATGGTTCGACGATAAAAATCTCCCACCTGATGCTAAATCGATAGGGAGCAGTATTCAATGATATGAAGCGATTGAACCCGGTTAAGCCACAATTTCGACATAAAATACATTACCGCTGACTTTTCCGTTACAACCTAGGATACGGTCTTACAATCCTTACTCCTCCCATAGAGCATAGGTCACCTCTCCCGTCCATACGCGTGGAATCACCCGTTGCAAGTAGCATCTAAGCTAAAGCTAGTTTCAAGGAAAAGGAAAGAGGGAATCCCAATATTAATTGATTTTCCAATATCTATCCTTTCTATATAATCCTCCCTCTAAAATCTAAATACCCATATCCCCACCAAACTCTCCATTCCACACTCCCCCACAGAAAGCAGAGAAAACAGAGTACTCTGTTTCTTGCGATTCCATGGTTGAGGTGAAAGGATCATCGCCGGCGATACAAGGGGAAAAGAGGTACGCTCTGCTGATGGCCGCCAGGGACTCCGACTACGTGAAGAAAGCGCACGGCGGCTACTTCAACGTGTTCCTCGCCGCCTTCGGCGACGAGCAAGGGGAGAGATGGGATTCGTTCATGGTGGTCGATGGTGAGTTCCCTGACAAGAACGATCTCCATTGCTACGATGGGTTCGTGGTGAGCGGCAGCCCTTGCGATGCCTATGGAAACGATGAGTGGATCCTCCAACTCTGTCTCCTCCTCCAAACTCTCCACTCCTTGAAGAAGAAGGTCCTCGGAATATGCTTCGGCCACCAGGTATATATATGTACTTGCTGTTTTTTGTTGTTTACATTGTATCAGATGTTTTAATCGAATTTGTTGTTATGACTTAAAATTTTATTATCTATCGGTCGACCTCGAATTCATGGAGTCTCGTTATTGATGGAGTCAGGAATCTGAACGAGAGGATGGCTCTTGAACCGTGCTGATTGAGAGAGAGGGTGGATAAACCTAGCGATTACTCTATTTCGTGAATTTGATACGAATTTTATATATAATTTTACCTATATTTTGAATTTGAGAGGGGGGCTATAGTCCTCCTAATTTCAACCTAGCTCATCCGGTGGGTCTCGGTGTCTTGTCAGCAAGTCGGTATATGAGCTTATACAAATTTGTTTTTACTGTTCTGGGTTTGGTCTGGTTTGTACCCCTTTTTTTCATTTTTAGGTTGGATTAGGGTTAGCCTCTAGTCAATACACATCGTGTTAGGATCAAGATTAGGGCGTCATCATCAAATAGAGTGAAACTGACATCTCATGTCTGTATTTTAGCTAATACACATTTTGTGTTTGTGAAATTACGTAAATGTACGTGTTATCTACTTTCTTGCATTTTCGATTTCCCGTTTCGTTACAACGAAAATGCTCATCCGGCGAAATTCTTCAGGTTTTGTGCAGGGCATTGGGAGGAAGAGTAGGGAAAGCGACGACAGGATGGGACATTGGTCTAAGAAGAGTGAGGATCATGGAAGATCTACTGCCAGCAGGGAGCAGCTTCCTGGAGGATTTGAGCCGAATGTCGCCGCCATCTCTGTCCATCATCGAGTGCCATCAGGATGAAGTTTATGAAGTCCCATCTGAGGCCAAGGTGATTGCGTTTTCGGACAAAACTGGCGTGGAGATTTTCGCCATTGGAGATCACATCTTGGGTATTCAAGGCCATCCTGAGTACACCAAGGACATCGTCTGCAGCATCATCGATCGCCTCCTCGACGACTGTTGCATCGAGGTAATGAAATTTCACTGATTGATTTAGTGATGTAATTAAGTGTTCTGATGAGAATTTGTTGAAGAAAGGGGTTTTTTTTTGTGTGTGGTGTTGTTGGTGGCAGAGGGAGTTTGCTGAGAAGGCCAAGTCTGGGTTGGAAGGAGCTGATGAACCGGACAGAAGTCGTTGGGAGAAGATCTGCAGGAATTTTCTCAAGGAAAGGTAGAGAGAGGCCATTGGAATGGAGTGTTCAGTGATCAAAATTGGTTTGTATGATAGATATTTACTATGTAGCCACTCGTTGGTGATGAAGATTCTCATTATGAAAGAAAAAGAAGCGATTAAGGTTTGTTTACACTAGCTTTTTCTATGTTATAACTGAGTGTGAACAACAACGAGTCGAGTTAACCAGTCGAAATCGTACGAAAAGAAAGAAAGATAAGATGCAAAGTTGCAAACCCAAAAAATCATATGCATGCGAGATGCTTATTGCTGAATCAAAAATATTGTAGCTCGAGGCAAAAAGACGTTCTGCCCTTAAGATCTTAATAATGAGGCAAGGAAAGAATGTATAAAAGAGTGAAGAAAGAAAGCTAAGATGGAAACCCAAAAACGATATAGATGAGATGCTCGCGCGGGTGAACTGAAACTGTTAATTAATCTGTTATAGTTCGAGATCCGATCGTAAATTTTCGCAGTCCCTTGAGATCTTACTATAGGACACTAATCATGTTACAAGTTGATAACCAACACACCGAAATCAGATGGATGCCGGAGTGGTAAACTCATGCGATCGAATGTGGGAAGGGAATAGAGTTGCGGGCAGGCTCTCAGCAACGGTGCTGTTGCTATCTACGGTGATCTCGTAGCTTGACTCGGAGATCACTTCCGCCCTAAGATCTTCCAACGGGATCTTTCCTAGTAGAGCAAGGACTACCTGTTTTAATTTCATTTACATGTATTAGGCTATAGACGTGTAATGATAAATTGGTCAATGTTTTAGAGTACTTGATTTGGTTTTATCGTTAACCTGACTCATCTGAGGTCGTTGCACGGACGAGGGGCGAACACAGGCAGCCGCGCAGGCGGCCATGGAACTCATCTGCTCAAGGGGATAGGTTCCTCGAAGCTCCGCCGACACCAATTCGTCATAGTTTTCGTCCTCCATAGCCCGAATCAGCCTAGGCGCTGCCTGTAATCATGAATGAATGCATGGTAGAGTTAAAATCGATGTATAATCAAGGTCGAAAATCGAGGTCGAATCTCTTTACCCAGATCGCCAAATTGAGGTCAAGGCACATGGATGAATCACGCGGCGGCTCGACTGGGAGGCGCCCGGTGATCAACTCCAAGAGTATCACACCGAAGGAGAACACATCCGACTTTGCGGTCAGTATCCCGCTAGTAGCATACTCGGGGTCCAAGTAACTACATTACCAGTAAATAAATAAAAAATGCATAGTTAAGCAAATTATAACTGAGCAAGCTAGATGTTAGGCAAGACTTTAAAACTCGATATCTTGAGAAAATTGGTCTAACCCAAAAGTACCACCAATTCGAGTAGTGCTTATGTGCGTAACGAAGTCAGGGAAGAACCTTGCTAACCCAAAATCAGCAACCTAATTAGTTGCGGTGGGGAAAAGAAAAAAAAAACAGTTGAGTGCTCTTACTTCCTTTTTAAAATTGTGAGAAGAGGGTTTGCATAAATGTCATTTGTACGTACCTTGGCATCCATATTGAAATCAAGAAGAATATTTTCGGACTTGATGTCTCTATGGATGATCCTAGGAGAACCTAACAAGAAAAAATAGCTCACAAGTTTGTATAACCACAAATCAATTTGCTCATAAAATTTGTAAAATCACCTAATTATTTTATCGTGGCATTATGTCCGCCTAGTCCGCCACTTAACGCCTCGGCAATGTATTTTGGATTTGCCTAGCGCATCATGCCGTATTGAACTCCACTTTACACCTTTAAACTATGAATACCTTTCAAGTAAAACAATTTAAACTATGAATTAACCATAATCCAGGGTGTGATAGTATATCCTTAACTTGAATTATTAAAACCTTAGCCCCTAATTTTCTAAACCCTAAGATGGTGCATCTATTTTCAATTATCAGAATGAATGACCATTATTTTTAAGAGGCTATCTAATTAAGACATACTGTATATAAACTTGTGATGATAATTTATATATCTATATCATGGTTCAAAAAGACGCGTTTAAGTATCGAGAACACAGTGTAAGAGTAAGGTGATCTATAGGTGTCACCTAGGCATAGTTAGTTGGAGCTAGGTAGTCAATATCAAAAGGTGAAACTAAAATCATCTACAAACTCAATCTTCTATCTCAATCTTTTCAATAGGTCAAGAACTTTGTGAGCTATTGACCAACTATGATTCTATGAAATTATCATCTATTTTTCTTGTTGTTAAGTGTTAATTAAGTTATTAATTACTCATTTGAATTGAACTGAGGAAGTCTTGTAAATTGTTACTTCATTCATTATGCAATACTACAACATGTTTGTTCTTTCGTCCAACGCCTAAACACGCTTAAGCGACGTCTAAGTGCTAGATAAGACCCCAACGACAATCTTACGCAGCCTAGTGTAATATGGTTGAGTCTTGCACCTTAATTAATACTCATGGTATTTTTACAATTCATGACTTAAAAAGATAATTATGTGCACAACAAATCAGATCAAACGCACGCCATGACTGACTTACAATCTTCATGAAGATAGGTAATTCCTCTGGCTGCTCCCACCGCGATCTTGAACCGACTTGGCCAGTCTAGCACCGGTCTTCCTTCATCTATAAAAGCCAAACCATATTACAATCAATGAACGACATAGATTTTTCGATTGGAACTCTCTCAACAATGTTAGTTATCGGGACAAATTGATTATTGACAATTCTACGATCAAATTTGTTTAAAGAAGGGGACATGATGGTTGTTTTGTTTCTTATGGTTGGCTATCCATCCATGGGATCAACTCCAACCACACAATATCTACACTCTTTGTGGATAATCCAAGCAACAATTCTCCGCCATTGATTGTTTTCATCAAATTGTACGTAGTGCTAACCTTTCTCGTAATTAAGTAACTGCATTAATTAATTCCCTACCGCCGCGAAGGTGGAACTTCAAGGTGTTGTTGGGGACGAGCTCGTAGACGAGAAGTCTCCGGTCGCCGGAGACGCAGTAGCCGACGAGGGAGACGAGGTGGCGGTGGTGAATCCGGGATATGATCTCCACCTCCCCTCGGAACTCCCTCTCCCCCTGGCTGCTCCCGTGGGCCAGCATTTTCACGGCGACCAGTTGGCCGCCGGCGAGGACGCCCCTGTGGACGGAGCCGAACCCTCCCCTGCCGAGGAAGTTGCGGTCCGAGAACCCGTCGGTGGCCCTCGCCAGCTCCTCGTACGTGAAAGTCCCGCTCGAGGAAGGAGTACCCGTCTTCGGGGGAGCGATCGGAGTTGCGTCGGAGCCGGTCGTCGGATAACATTGCTTCCAGAAACAGCTTGCCACTCCGACGATGACGAGGACTACGACGGCAACGATCACAAAGGTGGCGACGATTTTGGCGCCTGTATCCGGCGGCGGCGAAGGGATGTTGGAGTCGGGCATTGAGAATGAAGGAAGGAAAGTAAGGAAGGATTGGAGGGATGGGTTTCGATGAGATCAAAGAGACTTTGGATTTGAGAGATTGTGGAAGGGCAGAAACATCAAAATAAAAGATGGAGACACAACCAGAGATTGTGTGGAAATCAGAACTCGGCTTGACTTGAGATGAGATGAGTCGTGGAGCCAGCCACAATCACAGAAATTAGTGTTGACTTAGTCCACACTCTTGACCAGGAGCGGAGGCAGCCCACTCGGCTTGACTTGAGATGGTATATATTACTTAACAATTTACCTACGCAATTTTACTGAAGTGAAAAAATAATGAAGAAAATAATACCAAGTTGACGATGATGATAATAATGAAGAAAATGGAAAGAGATGGGAATGAATATCTATTCATAGCAGAAGAAATATCCACCAGGCAGGTAAGGTAGAGAACATATACAGCCCAACATATGCTCTGAAGCAGCCATGGAAGTGAAGCATATCAAAATGCTGTACAACAAATAACAGGAAGTAGCAGCAACAAGCCAAAATATGATCCGCCTAAACTACAAACTACAATCTCCATACATCAGTAGCAGCATCAGAAAATGTGATCTTAAGCCTTCCACCCTGTGGTGTAAGAGTTGTCCCTCCTGTTGTTCCTGAAAGCACAGCAACCCACGGAGTAGATGATGATGAGGAAGACGAGGAAGACGATGTTGACAATCGCCACCCGCTTCCAGTCGCGCTTGAGGTTGTCGAGAAGCCCGGCCTTGCAGGAGTTGCAGTTGAAGCAGAGCACATCGGGCTGGTTGTCCCAAGCTGCACAGTCGGGGTTGGTCGAGTTCGTGGTGGTCTTGGTCCATGTCGTTGGGTTCACGTAGGTGTAGCCGCATTCATCTGATGGCTTGCAGCATCCAGACTGAATAAACAAAGAAAGAAAGGAAAAGATCAGAACTTTGATCAGTACCCAGTTCATCAAATGCAGAGTTAAGACTAGACAGACAAGAACAGCTACTGTATGAACTCTCAAGAACAAGCTGAGGCATGTAAATGGACAGAAAGAAAGGAACTTTGAACAGTGTCAAGTTCATCTAGCAACTAAGATAGAACAAAATGCACATATGGGATTACTAAGAACAGCTAATGTATGAGCTTTCATGGAGCAAGTTGAGCTACAATTGACTTGAAATTGACCAAAATTCAGCCCTTAGATGTTGAACATTTGCTGTGTATCACAGTGTAAAGGTTCTTAATTGGATTCACTCTAAAGAGATATAGGATTTCAATAGCTTAATGAACATCCCATGGAGCACTTTTGAGCTAGAATCCCCTAAAAATTTACCAAGATCCAGCAATTAGATGGTTAGCCATTCTGTTGTTCAGAGTCTAGCAAGTTTTTCAATCTCTATTCGATCCCAATTGCTGCTCAATATCATCAAGTATACCTAAATTCAGCACAAGAACAATTTCACAAGTTTCTGAGGGGAAAAAGTTCATCCACAGTTAATCCATCGCTTTCCCCCAACTAAAAGCAACCAAATCCCTAGAAAGTTCAGTAAAGGGAAGAAGAAAAAGCAAAACCACCAAACGAATTTTGAAAACCCAGAAAGCTAATCGCCTTTCCCCCCCCCCCCCCCCCCCCCCCCCCCATTTCTTTACCTGAAGAGCGTTCAATCGCTCGGTGTAGAACTGCTCGACGGTATCGGAAAGGTAAGTCTCGTTGAACTTGGAGCAGACTTTCCCTTCAATCAAGCAGCTCCTGATCTTGTTCCAGTTCTTCCCCCCGGTCACCCTCTTCTGCAACCAATTGGAGTAATCCCCCAATTTGTACTCCTTGTACCCGCGGTCCGATAACACCTGGCCGGCGCCCTTGTTGGTGACGACGAAGGCGAAGATGGTGAAGCAGAAGAGCAGCACGATGAGGAGGAACATGACGACAAGGTAGATCCAGAGGAGCAAGGAGTTCTTGCAGCAGGCGCCCACGAGGCCGGCGATGGAGACGAGCATGAGGAAGACGCCGATGACGATGACGGGTGTGTCGAGGAACCGCTCGCACTCGGAGCTGCCGTGGTTGCGGAGCCAGGCGCCGGCCCAGATGATGGGGATCGAGAGGAGGAAGGTCACGAAGTTGAGGATTCCGATCAGGTTGTTGCTCAGGCGAAACATGGTGGCGATTTTCTTTTTGGGTCTGTGTGACTTTTTTGGAGAGTTGTTTGGTTGCTGAGAAAAATGTGTGTGGGAAAAATCTGCAGAGGGGAAGTTGGGTTATATATGGGGAAGACTAGAGAAGAAGGAAGTTACGGCGAAAGAGTGAACGGTGAGAGAGACGGTTACGGGCTCACGCGCTAGCGGGACGCGTATTGATTGGACGGATTGCCGGTAGATGTTTTTATTTCCATTATCATCCTTTTAGTTTGCTTGTTTACCATTTGAGTCCTTTTTTCTTTGCCCACAACGGTTTCTATTGTTGGGAATTGGGATTAGCTTAAACGGCTAGTGTAAAAGAGTGAGAAGAAAGGAGGGAGTAATGTGTTTCGTGGTCAACTTAAACACGACCCAACCCGTCAAACTTATTTGCCTAATCTTTCCTAAATGTGTGTGCATATTTTCTCCTGAGCAATCTATATTGCACCATGTTTTCAACATCTATAATACGTTTTTTCCGAAATATGTATCGTTAAGGTGTCATTATCGAACTATGGTTACCATCTTATAATAAGTATTTTTTGTCTGTCATTCATCGTGTTTTGTTTCGGTTGGGAGTAATGGATGACGCAACAGTCTGATTTCACTCAATCACTTGAAGATTGTCTTATAATAGGAAAGAATATCTAGAAAATCGGACAAATACGAGTTTTGGGCACTAAGTTACTGGAATTGACTCAGATGCACGAGTTGATTAAACGGGAAATCTAGACCCTCCCAAATGATGTCCCTTAACTTGCCACGACAGAAAGAAAAGGAACTTAGTCGTATCATACATCAAATTTGAGTATACATTTTCGACGTTGTTATCGTACACAAACAAGTAAACGAAAATTTTCTTTCCTCCAAGTTGGATAGCTCTATGCAAGCGAGATCGGTGCATTCGAATCTATAGCAAGACAACAGTCAACCGGCATTGGCCTGGTCCAAGATTATATAACATTGGCACAAGGAAGAGCGAGTGGATGATTCCAATGAAGGAAACAACCAAATAATATTATTAATCTCATTTGTGTTATTAAAAAAAAAAATCTTTGACCTCATGGGTAAATGACTGAACTTTCTCTGTCGTCTTCAATGGAAGAGATCGTTGTCATCCTGATAACGATAATAAAAAAAAACAGAGCATTTGAACTTGTCAGACTCCCAACGGGCGGAGGCGCGGAGCCTTCTTTTGGTATTTTAACCTTTTGTATCAAAAGGAGCAGAGCTTTTTACAAATGAAGAAAGTTTTCGCTTTAGCAAAAAAGAAAGAAAGTGTTCTTTTTTAATGTAGTGGGTGGTCAAAGCAAAGAACCCCCAACAATCTCTCTGCTCGAAGGAATCCAATCCATGGAGTTCAGTTCAAGCCACGCGGTGCTGTTGGGTTTGTGGTTTCGGTTTGGTTGCTGCTTTTTGCCCGTTTCACTGGGATACAGTACAGATATCAATAGGCATACTTTCTGCATAGATTAATCTGGCACGAAGTAGCAAATGAACAACAGTATGAGCAAAAAAGATAAACATTACAACAATCTAATGTCAGTAAAACCACTCCTGCTTGATAACATTTTCGAGAGATCAACTTGCATTCTTTCTGCATACATTAATCAGCCAGGAGGAGATTCTAAATTCACCTAATTAATCTATTATCTACACAACACAGGGAGCATAAAGGGTAGTGTGAGACACCCAATTAAACAAAAATCATTCCTTCTTTCCTCCAGAAAGTGCAGTTCTCCACCTTCTACTTGCAAATTGCTCTCTCTCTCTCTCTCTGTTATTGATCATGGTGGCCAGCGCCACTACTTCCACCTACGTCATTGCCACTCCTGTACGACTTCATCATCTGGTCACCAGCTGCCCCGATACTCGGATGAACGAGAGGCCTTCTATATGAATCGACATACGTACCATTACCTAGTCCATAGTTAGCAGCGGATGGAGCTCCTGCAATGGCCAGAAGATAAGGAGAAGAGCTAAAGAGGGAATAACAAGCAGCTAGATGGAGTAGGCTATAGCAAGTTATGACTCACCACCACGGGCTCTCTTCTCGGCATTCAAGATTTCGGCATATATCTTTTCCACATCGCTTGCCATCTCAATCAGGTTCTTCTCTGCCGATTTCAGCTCCTCCACTTTGGCCAAGTTGAACCCTTTCTCGTACGTAAATGTGTCCCTTCAATTTAAGCAGACAAAAAGAGCACTCAGTTGCGGCATAAGGTTCAAAGTCTAATCACTTAATCATGGTTATATCATTATGTTAGGGTATTCAAGATCATGCTGATTACTCGAGGGCTTCAGACTCCAAACTGATACGTTGTAAGACCGATTAAGTATACAGAATCAATCGGGAGAGGCATTTTTCTTCCAAATGTTATGCGTAACTTTTCAAAACAATTGAAGTAATCATAGCCGTTACAATTAGCTCTGGATATGTCTACATTGCTGGTATTGTCAGTTTTAACACCTAATCTATGTACACAATTAGGAGTAGCAAACAAACATTATGAGCAAAAAAGAAAACTTCATTCAATGAGAAAGGGAGGATCTTCTCACCTTAGTCTTTTGTACTCCTGCTTCAAATCGTCGAGCTCGGCTTCTGGATCCGGAAAGCTCTTGAACTCTCCACGAATAGTTTTCAATTCATGGGAGGCCTGCTGAATTTTGCTAATCAGCTCCTTCCTATCCCTGACCAAGTTCCGTGCCTCGTGATGCGCCTGCTTAAGATCTTCCTTCACATTTTCAGCAGCCCTAATGTCTGCCTCCCTTTTCCCAATCTTGTCCAACAAAACCCTAATCTGAATATCGCTCTCTGTCTGGATGCTCCTGATGTGTGCCTTGAGTTGCTGTGCCTCGTTTTGGACAGCGACCAGATCCTGTTTCAAGGCTAGATTCCCTGCTGCCAATCTTTGATTATCACTAGTGAGTTGTGCGATATCAGCAGCCTGAGCCGCAACTTTGTTCTCCAAGCGACCTGGATGAGACAAAGGATCCAACACACGTACACCATTCGGTAATGAACCGTGTCTCAACATCCCGGGAGCTTGAAGAGATGAACGCCCATCTAACTTAGGCGGATGACGCCCTCCTCCAGCCATTACTCCGAAAAACACCTTAGCTTCTGAACCGCATTATGGCTAGAATTTTGCACAATCAACCCAAACCCTGTTTAGTCACACTGTTGAAAGGAAACAATCAGCAAATGTACTCAATTCTTGCTTGAATCATATGGATTTTTCTTAATACTACTCTCCCAGAAATCCATTTTCAGGCGCTTGCTAGTGAGGTTTTGGTAAAACCGAGGCGCGTCAATTGCTGGTTGAAACCCATTTCAGGAACGAGCAATGAACTATTTAACTGTTCCAACAGGAGCTAAGGGGTTTAAAGACCCCTAAATGACCAACAAAACAAGGTATGTGATATCCAAGATTCTAATACAAAATCTGTGAAGGAACAACACTGCAATGGTGGGAACTCCGGCATTTAGAAAAAGTTTGAATCTTTACCAAATTTGGGACCATTCAGACAAAACCCACCAAGGAAAATTAAAATTTTTAAACCACTCCGGCAAGCCAGCAAAAACTCCGAATTCCAATTCAGACACGGGATAATTTCAGAGGGTAACATCACCAGCGAGTAGAATTGAAATCCCCAAGACTTCAATTCTCAATAAAACTAAGCAAACGTAAGACTAGAGCATCAATTCAACACGAGAAGGGCAAAAACGTTGAAGCTCTTCAGCGGAAAGCGAATATACATGAGAGAGAGTTGGAGAGAGAGTACCAGCTATCAAGGAAGTGCCGGCGGGTTTGAGAGAGAGGGAGGTGGCTTCAGAGGGCGGCGACGACAGTTTCCGAGGGACTAAATTTGGCGGAGGAAGAATCCCGGAGAGAGGAGATCAGCAGCAGAATCCCTCGTCGGAGCTGTTCCTTCCCACAGAAAGGCATCGACGATTTGACCGAGACGCTCCGTTGTTATATTCGGCCCAAGCCAAGCTCAACCAACATGGGCCTGTTGGCCCAGCCCGTCACTATGGAAGTAATTGGGAGACGGTAGTCGGTACTGCTAAGTTATAAATCGGTTCATCTTATTGAATGCTGTTGCGAGTCTGGATTGGTCGCCATAGTTGCTTGAAGCTTGAGCACGACAACATGGCATTCCACTCATATAAGTAAACGAGTAGGGAAGAATATAATGGAGCAGAAGATTTGGGACACGTGTTCAAGATTTCCATGGCTTCAATTGATTGCTTGAGCTTTGATATTCCAGCCAGTAGTCGCCCACTATGAAATACTGCAAATTCTGAGCAAGAGAACATTCCCTATGGCCACTTATGCTTCAAAATCTGAGCAATATTGGTGCATTATATTCCCACTAGTACTCCACTACCAATTGTGTTTTATCGGCAAAATAGGGAAACGATGTATGTTCATACCATGTCGACGTGCTCATAAAGTCAATGTCTACCGACCCAATGAATTCACGGGACAAAGGAAGAGATTAGGAGTTGATGATGATCATTGTATGAGTAGATTTTCATGTCAATACTGTATATAAGACCCATCGATTAGGCCACACATTAATGGGGAACTTAGATTACTATGACATTCTGGAGTTTATGGTGGTTATGGTGTTATGATGTGTGCGAAAATCAGGGTTGGACATTCAGAAATAAACTCAAGACCTAGTTTTTCAGGGTTCTTGGTTATTTCTTTCAGTCAAGGTGGTTCTCGACCGAATCGAAAAAAGAAAGATTAATTTCTAAGGTTTCGATCTGATTTCATCACCCCGACACTTTATTGAGTAGAATGAGATCTATAAGAAGCAAATACGACCTGTAAGCTAATGTTTGTGCTCGGACAATTAAGTCATGTGAGAAAATTGAAAAATGACATGCATGGTATCCATTTGATTGTAAGCTTATTTCATATTACAATACCATTTCATGCATGTGTTTAGAGTATTCATGCAATTCATGGTTGTAACCCAATTGGGGTTTGGGTATAGAATAGCTACCTAGCTAGCAACGTGCATATTTGAAAAAAGACTAAACATTTCCCTCCTTTTTAAGTACCCTTCCCACTCAATGCAGATTATTGCCATTGCCATGAAAACCAGGAGATTTGCCCATCAGACTCCCACTTTCCATGGCCAGCAATGGAGATTCATGGGCCGGTGCCAATCCCCTACAATGTGCTGTCCACCATTTCTGGTGCTCAAAACAAATGAATGCCCAAGTCACCACCATGAAATAATGTAGGAATAACATGGGAAAATAATTGGATGCAAAACCTACAAACTTTTGTGTTTTTATCACTCCTTGTAAGATTCGTATTCTTATCATGATTGGTAATGTATTAATTAGATTTGTAGGTTTTGTATATTTGGATTTTGCATCGAAGCATATGTCACGCTACACCATTCTTTAGGTTACAAATTAGATGTATGTACTCGATTGTTAATAAATTCTCTTGCAGTTGGGTCTTTCTCTTATAACTTTTGTTATCCTCAGGACCTCATCACTTGATTGTCCAAGTATCAGTGTCCATGAAACCGTACCGTACTGACGGTTCAACCACGAAATACCAGTATAGGAGGCTAAACCGGTAGGCGGTATTTAACGGTATAATGGTTGAACTATGGTTAAACCACGGTTTTACCATAAAATACCCTAAAACTTACTTTCCCGATACGATCTCCGGTACGGTTTCATGGACCATGCCAAGTATATGACTTCATAAGAAGCTAGTATTGACTATTGAGTTATATCCACAAATATATATGGATGATTGTCCGATATTTTTCTCCTAAGTTAAATGAAAGGACCACATTTATTATGTTATATGACAGGGAAAAAAACCCTTTGATATTAGAACTTTTCATTCTAATTTCTAAAACATAATTTCTTCATTTGAATGTGACGACTGATGATTCAATCTATATCGAGTTATTGGAATAAATCCATTTTTTTGGCAAATCACATAACAATGCAAATCCACGCCTACCATTACATGGTGTTGCAAAAGCAAACACGTAGAGATAATAAGTAGTGACCTCTCCACGCTTGCTGCCTCTTTACTATTCCCACCAATCATTATAATATGGACCAGTTTTTCCCACTTCTAGAGCCTATATATATGTGTGCTCTTCCACTCCATGTCTCTCACAAAATAGAAGCCTATCAAACATTGAACTTTGTTGTATCTTCTCGAGGGTTTGATCTAAAGATGGCTAGGTTGAAGTGTTTAGCTCTTTTGGGTTTGCTAGTTGCTAGCTTATTGGTTGGGACCATCGAGAGCCGGGTGGCAAGGAAGGACTTGGGCCTGGACCTAGGAGGGTTAGGGCTCGGAGTTGGAGTCGGGTTGGGGATTGGGCTTGGCGGTAGTGGGTCGGGCTCTGGAGCAGGAGCAGGGTCATCGGGCTCGTCCAGCTCGAGCTCTAGTAGCTCATCCTCATCATCGAGTTCTGGGTCGGGTGGTGGTGGATCTGGTGCCGGGTCTGAAGCCGGTTCGTATGCTGGATCCAGGGCTGGGTCTGGATCGGGGTCGAGGGGGAACGGTGGTGGAGGGTCTGGTGGTGGAGGTGGCGGTGGGAGTGGGGGCGGAGGTGGTGGAGGTTCGGGCGAAGGAGGTGGATCCGGGCATGGGTCGGGCTATGGCGAAGGATCCGGGTCAAGCAATGGACATGGGAGGTGATCACATAGAGAGAGGGTGGTGCCAATACAAGTAAAACTATGAATATGAATAAAGGCTAAAAATTGTGAGGTTGTGTTTTAATTTCTAGCTCTTTGTTGTACCAAATAAGTGTGTGATGTAGTGTGTCAAATCATCATATAACACCTTTTGAGTTTATCTATATGTTCATTTGCTATTTTGCTTGAACTTGGGGGCTTAATTATGTGCCTAATTAGCTTTTGTATCCGTCTCAATGTATCCCTCACTTGAAGCCTTAAGTGACAAATTAATGGATCCTTTGTACGTCTTATTACTATTCTGTGAAAGGCATCACTTTTCATGGGCCACTCCAAAATCGGCCCACATCCTCCATTGAGTTCCTCAATAGCCATAGCCATGCGTAACATGTAATCTCATTGAGGTGACCAAGCTGCAGGATGATAAGTTTGTTATTATCAGTTTAAACTCTGAATATATTATAATTTTCCTTTTTTTCTTAACTCGTTTAAGTCTTTCCCAATAGGTGCAAAACTGAGGGCTCTTATCGAAACCTTATACGAGCCTCGCCTGGGTTGTCAACATCTAATTTCGAGCTTGATGAGTTTTTTCAGAATCATTCTGACATTTTTCGAACTGGTATCGTAGTTTTCCTTCGATTTACAACTTCCTCATGTGTGCTATCTCCTAGTGGTGGAGCTACCTTAGTGGCAGGGGAAGCTATAGCTTTGCTCAACTCCGAAAATCATGTAAAAATACATGTAAATTTTGTAATAAATTGACAAAATATAGTAGTTGATAAGGCGTTAACCCCCCTCGCCAGTTCGAATTCTGTGTGCGAGAATTTTTAGCCCCCTCATTCGAATTTATGGCTTCGCCACTTATATCTCCTAGCTTTAATATCAAATAAAAAACCAACGAAGACGATGTATGCACGTAATTGATGGATCACATTTGAAACCATTAATCAGCACTAACATAGTCACGTTGTGGTGTGGGGTGTAGGCGTGTAGCCCCCCTTCACCCTTCCAGATTTAGATAGAGATGCATGAAATTTTTATAACAATTTCGAGAAATAGGGTAGTTGATAACGTTAATTTGTGTTACCTTCTCGATCAGATTTATGACTTCGCCACTATTAATCGCTTCTTGATTCATGACTCTGTCGACATATAGTAAAGAGAGTAGATCTTCACATTAAATCAACTTTGTCAGGTTCCATTTCCTTGTTGTCAACTAATTAACCAGCAGCCGATCTATCAGAACTCTACACACGGCTCTGAGATTGACATGATATGTCGCATCTGAAATCAACCCTTCGAAATTTTTGTGGCACTGAGAAAAGCAATATTGGAACCCATGTGGTTGATGGATCATAACATCTCACCATTATAGGACCAGAACAGTGACAGCCAGCCGACATGAAGCAGTTATATACAAGTTACTCTTGCTACATGCCCAAGTTCCACAGCTTGGGGGGAGTATAGTGATGCTGAGATGCTGACTCATGATCTAGCTCTCGTCGTCCCCGGCCCGTTGTTTGTCTTTCGACGATCGAGTCAGGTTTTAGATGAGGGGTCGATTGTCTAATAAACTAAAATAGAATATCGAGGAGGCTACATGCAACTACGCAACCAACTCTTAGTTACATGTAGCTAGCTATCTCCATGGATTTGTTATCCCCGGCTCAATATTTCTACTTAGAACTCAATTTGGAAGTGCACAGATGCACTATAACCTTTTGTTGAAATCAACTGGTAAATGAAATTACGTACAATGACTTGCAAGTCTCGCAACTTTTAATAAAAAATCTTTTAATCAACGTACCGCCAATCCAATTTATTTCAATAACCCAAGAATCATTTGAAAATCTTACATGAATATTCCAATGACCCGAGAATCATTCCATAAGTAATTTTTAAATGGAATATGATTGATGAAACATGACAACTATTACTTCTGGAATTCATCACAACCGTTTCCTTTTGTTAATCATCCATCAGCACGATCCATGCACATGTTAGACAGATCCACAACAGCGTGTTTCCAGCAACTATTACTCTTCTTTCTTTCAGTGAATCCAGACCACAAATAGGGCTCAAAATAAAAAAAGAAGTTTAGTTAATCATATTCTTATTAATTAATGGCTTCCAGTAATTAAAGAAGCAAATTTTGTAACCATGGAGATTGTCAAGACCTCCACAATCCATTATATTCTCAACTTCATTGACAAAATAAAACATACAAGTCAAATTAATAAAAATATTTATTAGATTCCTTTTAATAGGGTACGTGCACAAGAACCCTTAACTTATGATATCTGTTGGGCATGTGACTCGGGCCTAGCCACGTCAAGGAACGGGCGCAACTGGAAGGACTCTGACAGGGCAGCGCGAAGACCCCGAGCGCAACACCTCATCGTAGTCCACCACGTCCTGGCGCGAAGAG